GTATTAAAAAACACAACATATCACATGTGAAATGTCCTCTTCTTTAAAAAAAACCCCAAAAAAACAAAATCTACCCTTAATTAGTTCTGTAATCAGCTCATCATGGATTATGAAAAATCCATCTCAGTTAAACCCTCTCCTTTTGGGGAGCGATGGGCTAAAGCACTGTTCTGACTTAAGTGTGACCCCTTATAAAGAAACATTGTCTACTCGCATGTTGTACAATGTCTGAGTCGAAAACGGTAACCACAGAGAGATTCACCCAAATCAGATTTGAATACGTGTTATGGGTGGAATTGTTAACAGAAAAGTAATTCAAAAACAGTAGATTTGAGAAACAGCAGTGTAAAAACAAAACTCACCCGTAGGTTGGGAACTATTGCCTGCTGACCTACCAACGAACCGCAGCACAGTTAAGCAGAAAATACCAACATTGCCATGTAAGTGCAGCATGACATGTGTCCACTGTCAACCTGGGATTGAATCTGGGAGGTGAACAGGACACACCTCTGTCCTCGCCACTGCTACATCAAGCATGATTGAAAGCTAAAAAGCATCCACTGATACCCAATGAAAGTGGACAATGGACATCCCATCATGGAAAGACACTGGCAGCTGTTGATAATTTTATCATCACTGACTCCAAACTCTTTGAAGCAATCACTTCGAGGCAGAAGAGGCTCTTCGAGGGTTTTCTTTCCTTTCACAGACATTTCAATTACAATTCCCATCTTGTCACACTTCTTGTTAAAACATTTAATCCCTCTCCAAAGATTTAATGCAATCAAAATAGAGGGATATAAACTTTGATTTGTGCTGAGGGTTGTAGCATGACATCAATGTTTTAATAAATTCATGGGAATTAATACAAAATTATGAATTTTAATATTCAGAGAATATTCATTCATAAATCTCTAGTTTCTTGGGCACCACCGGAGATCCAATTCCCCCAGAGTCTCCGGACCTCTGAGTATGGTTTTAATAATTATACAATTATTCACTAGTGATCAGTTAGTTAATAATTGCTCAATCATCTTAAATCAATCAGTCAGTCTCATATCAAGCAGGGACTTGGAGATAGGCAATACACACACAATTCCTTTGGTTACAGTGAAATTTATGAACTAATTAAGGTGAATATAAGAATGCGGTTAAAATATACATCCAAGAAATAAAATGGCTGAACAATGAGAATGTGGGTTTCTATTGTGGGGAGCATTTGACTCATACGGCGGAAGAGAACTCATGAAAGTAGTTAGATTACTCGATTAAATTTGTCTAGGAGTTTAAGGACTAAAGATAATGGATTAACACACTATTGGACATCACTGATCACAGAAAGGGTTTTGGTGTTACTGCTTGTGTTTCTCCCAGCCCGGTTGCTGGTAAATGGCCTCACACTGGCGAAATTCTGTGTGTTCTCGGTTAGGACAGCTTAAAACCGTCGGCCGGCCGCTTTCTCTGCCAGGGAATTGCTCCGGAGGTCCGTCTTTTGTTGGCTTATTGAAGAAACTTGCAGTGGGGGCCAACCCTGGCTCGGGTTAGAAGTTTGGTCGTACTTTGTTACTGCTGGTGGTTACGTGGCCGGAGTCCGAGGAGGGATCAGTGGAAGTTAGCTCGACGGATAAGGCTTAAAAAGAACTTGGTCGTTCTTGAATTAAAACTAGTGTAACTTAACGGACTGATAACTTTTAACAAAACAAAACCAAAGAAAATAAAATGCAAGTAAAGTTGCTGTTAAACGAGGGAAAGCTGAGGTCGCGGCACTTTGCGTGTGTGGCTTGAAAACTAACAAGCCCTTGCTGCGCTGGGTCGAAGTTCTTAGGGCGTTGCCGGGAGAGAGGGGCACGCTGGCCACGTGCCGGAGCGCAGTTGGAGAGCCAACAAAAAGAGGACAAGAGAGAACGACAGAGCTTGTGTCGCTGTTTTGTTTGTTGGGGCGTGGTTCCCAGGGGGCAGTCCTTTGTTCCCATGATGGAGGGCTTGTCTTCGGTTTGCCTGAGAGACTGTCTTCTTAACTTTCAATCTATTTGCGCGTATTTTAATCAAATATCTTCCCACAATCAAACCTTGTCAAACAGTTATACCGTTCTTAGTTTAAGCACTTGATGAAAGGAAAACAATTGTCAGTAGTTCAACTTTGAGGCTAGCATTTCAGACGATGGCATGTAATACTTATTTTGTCCACTTGGGGGAGCTCGGGTTACATGAGGATAGCTCTGATTAATCCTAAAACAATCTTCTCAGGAGCTGGGGAATTTAGTCATTTTTAACCTTAAATTTGAGCTGGAAAATTAATCGAGTATAGGATGACATTTCTTTATCATCATTTCTAAAGGAAGTGTCAGAAAGTGTTGTGAACAAAGCAGAGATTACAACGTAGAATGAATTAAAAAAATCAGGGATCCTTGCTGAAAATTAAACACTGCAAAATTAACTTGTTTAGATTCTTTTCAACAACAAATGACAACAAAAACAACAAGGCAGGAGTTGTTCGTGTCCCCCTTTCACAATCTTGGCTTATCACATTTGCACATCACCTAAAAGAAGAGAAGGGAGTGGTGTTTTATGGCTCAGCCATTCTATGGGAAAAGGGATCAGAACGGCGGTACTTTGATGTCCTGAAGCCCCCTATGGATGGAGAGGGATTGGACAATTCCTTTGCTGTCCTGCTAAGTGTCTATTGACACCTTTACGGTGAGAGGGGTTCACTACAGCTCTTTGAGTACACGGTCCTTAAGCGATGCATGTCTGATTGAGTCTCTGCAGACCCTTACCAAACCCCAGGCGATGGCTCTATTTTTTGCATGCCCCCCCCCCCTTTTTTTTTCTCAGAGAGAGAGAGAGAGGGGATTTTTGAGTCTCCAAATTATTTGATATAACATGCCCAAATCCACTCTGTTGGTACACTACAGGGTTGTGTTTACTCTTTGTGCTCAGTTGTTGGGCTGGCATGACAGATGATGCAACGTATGTATATTTTCAACAGGTATAAAAACATCCACATTAACTGCTGCTTAAAGGACAAGTTAAAGGAACTACAGGATAATACCAATGGTTTGGTCAGTTTTTTCATCTAGTCACTGGTTCTGATTCATTTCAGTAAGCTGCTGTGACGATGTGAAGCATGTTTAATGCAGGGAATTCATCACTGGTACCAATGAGTCTGCTTTATTTGGTATCAGAGATATGTGATCATTGGGTGGGAATGTAGTCTTGAGCAAGGACTGTTCTGAAACCACTTCTTGGTGATGGATTCAAGGAAACACTGTATATCAGGGATTTGTGAGTCTACAAATGAAATGTAGTAGATGTAGGCTGAAAAAACAGAAGACAACCAATAAGCAAACATGGACTTGGACTTGGATGTTTAAAATTAAATATTTTCTTGCATCAGAAACGTGCTGTTGGTTTTTCAGCTGTCAGATCTCAGATGTTGCAGCATCTTTAGCATCATCATCCCTTCGGGAGACACTCGAGGGACTGCTATGATGCACAAGACAGCCGTCACACGTATCTGAGGTAGTAAGTTGTGAAGTGTTAGTAAGCTTCTCAACTTTATTGACCTCATTTTGCACATTGTGGCAGCCCATCAAGGGTATCGCACCTTGTTCACCCCAACCTGAGAACTCACCATGTTTGTATATTTATATATAGAGGGATTAAATGTTTTAACAAGAAGTGTGACAAGATGGAAATTGTAATTGAAATGTCTGTGAAAGGAAAGAAAACCCTTGGAGAGCCTCTTCTTCACATACATACATACATAAAAGTAATACTTGATGTAAATAAGGTCGTGATCCAGATTACCAACTGGGCAAAGCGGCAACTGCTCTTGAAACCCAGACCTTCACAGTCCTGCCACAAGGCCTATGCATAATGCACCTTATAACTACACTAAACTGGAAGAACATGGGTGGCCCTCTGATCACTTTTTTACTGTCTGGGACCTGTTGTGATGTGACGATCAAATGCACAAAGGCATAGTCAAAATATGCAAACAAATATGCGTCTGCACAAAAACACAGTTCCTGTTTGATGTCACATGATCAACCTGAACAAAGTTGTACATCATATTTCTGTGACCTCTGGAAAAAATGCTAAAGTGGTGATTGGGAATTGTCTATGAAGATTCTCAGTCATCCAGGTCATAGTTATCCAACGAAGAAGGGCAACTGGACTTGGTTGAAGCTACTGGAAGACGTTTCGTCCCTTATCCAAAGGACTTCTTCAGTTCTGACTGACTGGCAGGGAAACTCAGCTATTTAACCTCAGTGGGGTCGTTGGCCCGGGTCATCGATACCGCTGGTTCGTTAGTGTTCCTTGTTGCTGTGACGACAGTCGTTACAGTCGTTGAGACTACATGTGGCCAAGACTGAACGACCATCGTTGGTATCTTCACCTGAGGCCAGTTGCCCTTCATTTTAACCTTCGTTGGGTGATTGGGAATTATGTGTCATCATAAGTTGCAATCACCATCAAATACATCTTCAGTCATGTGGTCTTTACTGTATGTGTCATACTTTAGTCTTTAGATAATACTTCATGGAGGACATACTGTATGAGTGGACAATAATGCTTATTAGTTTCAGTACCAGCAGCTTGTTGTCCTTGAGTTTCGATGCCTCCTGGAATCTTCGCCACAATCTGCTAAACAGATGAGGTTAATTTATCTTTTTAAGTGGGAGAAACACACTGAGATGTTTTGCCGCTTGCAACAAACCACAACCTTCCCCCAAAACAAACTTGCATGCAACATTTCCAAACCAATTAAGGACGTAATTAATGAAACCCAGCACCTGTAGTGCCAGAGCAATCACCAGAGAGGGGACAGTGAAAAATGTAGCAATCAAATTAATCAAGCAAAAGGCACAGGCCAATTACTCACAAACCATCTAGAGTGTGGTGCTGCACTCGGAGAACAGGTGATAGTTATCATTAAATTAGAGGGAGATCAGTGGCTCAGGCTGTTTCATCATGTGGGACCTTGATGAACCGCAGGCTGGGCACTGCTTTTGTCGTGGGCACAGTGGCAGACAAGGCAGCCCATATGCTCAATTGTTTAAGAGGAGAGGCGGAGAGGTGTCGGAGTAATGATTAATGGAAATGTGAGTGACTCTGCAGCAGCAACACAACAACATCTGGTCTTGCATCGGGCCCTTGTGCACATCCAGTGGATCGGTGGTGGTCCCGTAGGTGAGCACACACACGCACAGCCTGGAGAGTTGGAGAAAGTTGTTGGAATTAGAGGGTTTGGGGGACAATTTGCAGTCATTTTCATTAATTCCCTCACCACCCACGATGGCAGCAGAAGGGGAAAATTTACCCAAATCCTGTGCTTCTTATACTGACATTTCAGAGAGAGACAGCTGCTGAAAGGACAGCATTCATCAGCTAACAAACAGGAAGCGAACACTGATATTGTGAAAATGGTCATGTGAATTTGGTAATTTCTTGCATTACAAGGGTTTCTGTTCTCTCTCAGATGTTGGAGCATTCTTAAAATTACCACCAGTCTTGATGGTCACAACTGCACTATAGGATAACTTATAAAATAAATACAACTTAATGTAATTGATTACCTCGTTTAAGTCAGTTTGAAGTCTCTTTTTATATCAAATTGAGTGAACTGAGGGAGGGAAATCAAACAAAAAACGTATGATTTATGCCAAAACCTATCAGACTTTTAAAGAGGTGGTATTATGCTCATTTTCAGGTTCACAATCTTATTCAGGGGTTGTACCAGAACAGATTTACGTGGTTTAATTTTCAAAAAAACACCATATTTTTCTCATACTGCACATTGCTGCAGCTCCTCTTTTCACCCTGTGTGTTGTACGCTCTGCTCTTGAGCTACAGAGTGATGCATCTTACTTGTACAAAATCTTTGTTGGGAGTTGCACATGCGCAGTTCCCAGGTAGTATAGTATATAAAAAGTGGCCAAACAATTTGAGCGTTTGCTCAGTAGCTTTCACATCATGTGTAACATTAGCATTACAACAACTCCGCACTTCAACAGTCTGAAGTTACATTGCTGGTTATTTTAAATATAATTCACAACCAATAAAGCATACTTACAGGTTGTGATTGTGAATTTCCAGGCCCAAACAGAGTCGGAGTTGCATCGTCTTTTAGGACTAAACGTTGAACTGTTGCAGGTGTTCTGACGATCTATGCTGCCTTGCCGAATAACGCTACCATAGCGCAAATCGATAGACTCGACTCTACTTGGTCCTGCTCCGTTTTTCATTGCAGACAGTACCCAGAGGTAGTACATAGCTTGTCATCACAGGGACGCCACACACAACTACCTCGACGTAATGTTTAATGCGACACACGCACCAGCGACCCACACAGCTTTCTCTTTTTTAAGTTAAAGCGTTCCTCAGAATGTAATGACAGATAAGCGGTATGAAAACCTTCCAGCTGTGTTTTCCTCTGCCGTTGTTGCTGCAGCGGTCTGTGTGACGGCGGGAGCAGAGGGCTCTGTGAGCGGGCGGCTGGCCGGCCTCACACGCTCCTCCCGTGGGTCACAGCAGGCTTCCCCCGCAGCCACTTGCGGAGCTCCTCAACTCCGAAAACTTTCAAGCACATTTTTGTTCCTTTTCCTTTCCTTGTTCCTTTTTTGTTATACTTCTCGTAAAACTGTCAGTCGAAATCTACACAGCTGATTTCTCACCTCAAAACTTCTCAGAGGTGGATTTAGTGATGAAATTCCATACAAAAACTGTAAAATATAAAACTTTCTTTTGCTGGCCTCTGTTTGGTGCAGCAATGATGATGCAGTGAATAGTGAATATTCTCTCTGACCAATCAGCAGTCTGTCGTGTTTTCACGTTACATTTTAGTATCCCTCAGCTCGCTTGGAGCCTCGATGGAGGTGATACGAAAAAAAGTACCTGGAAGCAGCTACAGGTACAACATTTCAACATTTACAGGTACAACATTTCTACAATGGAAACCCAAAAAAAGGCGAGTCAAAGGGCCTCCGCTCATACTAGCTTGGTTTGAGGGCGTGCCTGACCCCGCTAGCCGCTTGGCAAGCTTTATTGCGCGTTTTCATTGTGACGTCACAAGTAAAGGAAGTGAAGGGCTGGACTACAAACCAGCTGTTTTCAAGCGGTTCAGAGCAGAGCTTTCTGTGGGAGATGGGAACTCCCTTTGGGCTGGACTTTGGGCTTTTTCACTTTGCAAACCTGTTACATGCACAAAAAAGATATATAACTCAATAAAGGAGAGGGGAAAAGCCAAAAAGCATAATACCGCCTCTTTAAGCCTGATAAAGTATGGGAATGCAATGGGGAATATGTATACATTCAAAATGATGTCTTATTATTAATGTGACCCTTGTATATTTGTTTTGTATATGTTACAAATAATATAACGTGTTGCACTGCTGCATTACATGATTGTTATTGCACATAGAGGGGTAAGTCATTGTGTAATTAAGAAGCTGATGGCGTTATTACAAGATCAACTGGACTTTTTAATTACTCTGAAATTAAAAAAGTTTGTTGTAGTATGGGCTATCCCTGAATGTAATTAGGACAAAAAACCATCATGTTCTGCATCTGAAGTTTCATCAATATAAACAGTCTATTCCTGAAATTCATCATTGGAGAAGAAAATGAACACTTTGCTTGGGCTGGCATCTCTTTTCTTCTTGTTTACATTCGTTTAATCTGCACTTTTGAAAGCTTTGGCCTCTTCAAAGCATTGCAGTGAGATTGTGATGATCAGCCATGGTCCTGTTGGTGTCTTTCATCAAGGTTCACTTTCTAGATCCCCCTTTTTTAAATTAATATTAATTATTAAATATAATTAATTATAGCACCCAGCTGAGGCTACTTAAGCCAGCAATTAATACAACATATCCCATGAGTCTTAGACACAGAAGCACGGGATAATCATCATGGTAGCTGTATTCTTTGAATGCTAACAAAATAATTAGTCTTTTATCTTGTTTAATGATGAGTGTGTTACTCTCCAGTAAAGTAATATAAACACGTGTATTACACTATGGACACTAAACTTCAGAGACAAGTTTCAGCTTTTCAGAGAGTCTGATGAAGCAAACACTCTATGAGAAAACAACAGTGAGCACCAAATACCAGTGCAGCAGAAGCAAATCCTGCAGTGCCAGGTGCTTGAAATCATCATTGATCATATCATATAGACAATTTCATGTGGAAAGTTCAACACGGACGAGAAAGTTCCATAATATGAAATGTAAGCTAAAAACATGCTTTCACTGTTTTGAACTGATGCAAGAAAGACGTATAGATCCAGATTTTACCACAACAATATGTTGTGCACCAGCTGACCATAGTTTCCAGCGCTGGTGCAGACTGTCACATCAACATGTATTGAATGTGTAAACATGTCGCTGGCTGCTGTTTCTGATTCTGCTGATTCTTTATTATGTTGTGCGTCACTCCAAAGAAATGGATTGCTCTGTGTGAAGAAAATTTGGTTAAAGCTTGTATTGCAACGGTAAATAAATGGTGTAGGGCTGCAGGGGCATGGGGTGAAAACAAAGGCTGGAATAAGTGTTCTGGAGTGTGAATAGCGTTGTGCATTTCAATCGTGTGTAGTGATGGTCGAGGTTAGTGAAGTGTGAGAGGTTCTGTCTGTGGTGCTGATTAGTCTGGACGTGCGTTACATGTTGGCTGAATGGAAAGGGTTCTGATGGACTGTGTGTAATAAACCATGATGACCTCCTGCTAATCCACACACTGCAGCCCAGAGTCACTAAAACACAGCCAATAAATGGATAGCTGCCCAGTCGCCACTTTGGACCTGCTTTGGTCATGTTAAAATTTCAGTGATTGGGCCTATTGCTAATAACTAATAAGGTGGGGCAGTAAGGTATTCACGACATGCTGGACTAAGGGGATGCTGCAGGAACAAGTCTGCTGAACAGGATGCACTAGTAGGAGATGTGCTGCATTAGCTGGTCGTTGAGATGCCGACCTGACACTAAATTCACACACAATATTCACGCATAGATGCACAAAACAACACATGACTCACTTGCTGCTCTGCCGCCACCAGCTGTCGATTAGTGGAAGAATAGCATCGCTTGGGTGCACATCTGCATTACCATTAGCTCTCTGTGGTCAGCAGGAATGTGCATCAAAGATGTGCTCAAAACATTGCTCCATATCGTGTATGATTGTTCTGAACTACCGCTCTACTGCTTTTTTTTTTACTCACATTTATTATGACCAACTTAACTGCTACTTTTCTAGATCATCACAGTTCACACATGAATAGTTTGGTTGTTAATACATATTTGATGTTATTCATGTCTCCGTGATGTTATTCCACTGTATCATGTTGTTGTCTGTTATATTCTGTCTTCATATTGCAGCGTTCTATACTGCTGGTTCTAGTCAACGACAAATTCCCACTACAATGGTCGATGAAGTTTTATTTCATATGGTAAATGTTAAAGGTTTTGACATATTTAGTAAAGCCTTTGCACAGACTTCAATCATTCTGAGTAGCTGCAAGAAGCAGGCATTGTCACAGAGGCACATCGAGCAGACGAGGGAGGGTCTCTTCAACACAGGCCACAAGGCTGTTTTAATCCACCAGGTATCTTGGTGGCAGTGTCTATGTGTGATACAGCATCATTACTTAGAGGTCTACTTGGTGACTTTCACAGTAAAATATCGTAGGTAAATTTTACATGAAGTAAAGAAACATTTGTTTTAATTTACAGGATCAGTTCAGCCAAATTATAAAATAACATGTTTGCATGTGTTTTAGAAATATCTTGTCATGTTAGATAGTTTGTATGTGACGAGGTTGTGTGATATCTGTCTGTGGTTTTCGACAGCCATCATAATACTGGAATAGAAAGGTTTGGCTCAGCACAGACTGAACGTGTTTGCTTTGGGGCAAAGATTTTTGGCTTTTTATTCACTGCAGTGATGGTTAGTTTTATCTCGCAGTTATGATTCTTGAGGTTCACCAAAGTCTGCTGTTCAACACAGATACCAAAATAACCAAATTCAGGCACCAAGTGGTTTCCATTTGGTTTGGATTAGTTTCTTATCTGTACTGTACAGATGGATACTACAGTGCAGACACATTCAAATGTTTGTCATTTTTGATTCACGAGGTTCTCAAAATTGGCCCAGCTTGGACACCAGAGACACACAATCCCATTATACTGAGTCGCTGATTGTGAACTACATTTGGAAATGTGACTAAATCTTTTTTTTTATTCCTCTTTTAACAGCTCGACTGGAATAGGAACAAACACATCATTAAATCAGCAATGTCCCACTGTCGTCATCATTATGAAACTCAGTTTGATGCCAACATCTTTCATTAAAATAAAAACATGCAGCCATTTGGGGCCCCGAGTTCCCTCGGTACGGAAATATGACGCTAATCACGGACACAGTGCAAGCCAAGCCTGGGGAAAACTGCTCTCTGCTTTAGGAGGGTTTTCAAAGAACACCATTAAAAAATAATAATTGATGAAGTTGGCTCTGAGCAAAGGCACTAAGCACTTTAAAAGCCTTTCGTCGTCTTACAATACAATTTCCAAATCAATATTTCATTAACTGGATAGAGGTGCAATGTTCCTTGTTAATAAAGAAGGTTTGGCTCAGCACAGACTTAACGTTTAGCTTTAGTGAATTTCAGGTAGGAAGATGGAAAATTATGTTCCACCTGGCCTCTAAATACACACACATACGCACGCACACACACATTCAGTGTATTCTCTGCACACGCGAACACACACGCCTGGTCCTCCCTTGATTGTTCCTGTGTTTATGGGCCGTTTTATGACCGGAGAGCCACTGATATCCAGCATCGGCGGGCATCAGGTGACTTTCCCGGCAGAGAGAAACAAATGTGAGCTCTGCTGCCGCCACACTGACGCCGCTGTAAATACAGAGTGAATTTCAGGACAGAATAAGCTCACAGATGGCGCTGCGATGGATTGGCGACCTGTCCAGGGTGTTCCCCGCCTTTCGCCCAATGTCAGCTGGGATTGGCTCCAGCCCCCCCGGCCACCCTGTACGCAGGATAAGTGGTTGACGATGGATGGATGGATGGAATAAGCTCACAGAGTATAGATTACATTTAAAAAGCTGAGTTATTTCAGGTAAAGTTAAACCACTAAGAATGTTCAACTCTGATTTGCTGGAGGGGGTGCATCCTTTTAACATAACCACACAGTGTTCAAATGTTATATTCAAAGCTAGAAGGCTACTTGTTTCAGCTATTGTTTTATCTGATTCGACCTGGTCTTTTGTTTACTGTTGGATCCATATTGTGCCTTTAAATACCTGCTGTCACTCCTATGAAAGTGGATTTCAGTAAGTGTTTTATGCTATGGCCCTTCACACTTGACATTTGTCTGTTAGTGACGACGATCAATAGATCGCTTGTTGCTTGTTGTTAGGCAAGGAAAGGTCTGCAGAAGAAGTAAATAAATGATCATTCACCACTCATATTGATAGTCTATTTGTTTTCCTCAAGTAACAGTTTTATTTATCAGGTACCATAAGGTAATACTGTCCTGTCCTGGTTGCCACCATGTAACAACACACATATCATGTAATCACAACATCCCTTGGTTTAGTATCATCCCTCTCTCTTCTTCTGCCATGTAAAATCACATGACTTAAATTATTCCAAAATGTACTGGAAAAAGTAAAATTGAGTGCAACATATGGTCACTAACCAAGAGCCAACTACCATCTGACATGCACATTCTTTAAAAAGTAAAGAAGTAGTAGTGTGAGAGTATTTTGCCATCTGTCACACTATGTAGTCCTCTAGATAGAATTCCCTGTGTAGTGAGTAGTGAATGAGAGACATTGCCTCTGTCTTTCAACTTACTGTTGCTAATGAATAAATTACATTGTACAAAATAATGTGTTTTGTCGAGTGTTGATGCAAACACTTCACTTCACTGTACCCTGATGATGTTTTTAGAGGTTGATCCCACACTGATCAAAACACAGTTCTGAATAACACATCAAATACTGCAAATATTTGGTACAAAATGGACACATTTATTGGTAGTAAGTCACAGCAACAGGATGGCAACATGAATCTGGAAATATAACAGTTTAGCTTCGAACATGTAAAAAGAAGCAAACTTCAGGCAGTTATGCATGTAGAAGCAAAAGCAACAATTATGTTATGCTAAATAAACTCCTATCAGTTAGTTTACAGGGGTTATTCTTGAGACGTTTAAAAAAAACAACAGATTTTGATCAAAGCAGGAGAAAATACTTTTTTTAACTGCACTTTTTTTCTAACCATACCCTGAATTCGCTTTTTTTTTTCTACATGTTTTAAGATTTCTATCCTTTTTCTTCGAGACCCCAGTTTGTTATTTGGGTACAACCAAAAACATACCCTTCGAGCAAACAACTATCAGTTGCTGTTAGTGCATAAAAAACGTTGTTGTCCAGCTAAATGGTGCCACAGAGTAAAGAAAAACAAGGATGTAGAATATCGCCTACAAGTCTCTGAAGTGAAGTTCTAATTTTGTAGCCAGAAAATTAAAATGTGGTCACTGGGAAGCACTTGAGTGGAGGAGAGACGGGACAACTGCTTCAAACTTGTTTGTTTGTATTTTTGACTTTGTGGCTTTATAAATCTGCAAAATGCACCATAGTTTGATTCAGCTTTACATGGATTTGTGTGGAGAGTTTTGGCATCAATGCAAACGCAGTGGTGCTTGTCATTCAGGGCTGTGTGCCTGGACATTTGATTAACTATTGTACAGTTGTAATGAAATATTGGAATGCACACACACAGTCACAGAATAACAGAAAGTCAATTTTACTGTAACAGTCTTTAATAGTACTTTCTTTCTCAGCCTGCTGCACATCGTCCCTGCACTACACAGCTCTTTGCTGAGAGCTGCAGCATGCGTGACAAATTGAAATATTGAAATTCATCTTGATGAATTGAAAGACATTCAGCGCACATATCCAGCAGGGTTGTGTCAAATTGGTTTCTCTCTCTGGGTCTGTGGTTTCATGCGGGATGTCATCCGTTGGAGGAGTCTACAGACATGTTAAGGGAAGCCGTCCTCTGCGTCCTGTGAAACGTGACGCTCTAGCTTTGAGCTGCTGCTGCTGCTGCTGAAGCCGCTGTGATGCAGTTTGGAGCAGGATGATTCAGACGTGATGCAACAGGGACACCTAGTGGAGATGAAATGCAGAAGTACTCATACCACAAGGCATTTACTCTGTAGTGCGTCATAAAAACCTTCATGGAAATTATTGATGACATGAAAATGGTCACTCGTCAGTAATCTTTTCAAATCTGAATATCATGTTATAATAGAGTGTATGAACCCTGTGAGCATGGGCCCAGAAATAGGTTTTACATTACAAACAAAACGTGGATCACTTCCATCTCATCCTCGTGATCAAATACAATATTTTCACCCAAAATTTCACTTACCACCTGGCTCCAACCAACCCGTTCTCACTACCAAGTATGAAAGTCTAACCGGGCATTGCATATTTATTGTTGTTAACTTGACCGTGGAGTCATGCACATCCAGAAATGACTCTAGAGGGGTACCCAGTGCTTCAAAAAGTGACCCAAAGTTGTCTTGACCAAGCATCCATATGTGACGACCTGGGTCCAATGCCTAAATCCTGTTATTTCGGCTGCTGGACCAACTCCATTTCCCAATAGTGATCAATAAAGCTTCATTATTTTTATTCAAATGTATCTGCTCTCAGTAGTCTCTACTCTCTGAGTTTCATTAGAGTTTGTGCATATCATGATTATGGCATACTTATCTCTTGCTTCCTCTCTTCAAGGAAGTTAGCAATAGCACCCGCGCTTTGTGTTCATGAACAAAGCTGGAAGGTTGGATGATTTAAACCCAGGTCTGCCGTTCTGCTGACTAATACCTACAAGGCCCATCCAGCTCCCCAATGTTATCTTCTTTCAGTAATTACATGTGAGTTAAGTCTGGAAAATAGGCCTGGGGAAAACACGGTAGAAAGGCTGGACTTGAAGTTACTGACTTGAACAGAATGTCAAACTGAAAATCACAAACATGAGCATGCGCTGTCATATGTTTATGAAACAATGGCTGTTTGGGATGGGGGGCGAGTTGCTGCCTGTAAAGCAGGAGTTATAGTATCTCTATAGTATCTTTTGCTAAGTATAGTAAGAGTTAATAGCACGTATGGCATCAATGGGGTAAATACCTAGGGAAAGAAGTAAGACTTAACGAAACAGTGTAATCAATACACCATCGTGGTGTCACAGATGAGAACAGAGACGGAGGTTGCTTTGTGTGTAGGGATGGCAGAGCCAGGCGGCGTTCGTTGGAGGAGCGCAGTGACAGAGAAGGAACGTAAGCTTGTATTATGGAGTTCAGGCAGACCCAGTAATCACTCTGTATGGAGCATTAATGACTTGAATTTGATTCGGGAGGCCACGGGTAACCAGTGGAGGTCACTGAGTAAAGGAGTGACATGAGTCCTTTTGGGCAGATCAGAAACCAAATGCGCTGCAGCTTTCGAAACCATTTGTAAGGGTTTCACCGCACAAGCTGTAAGACCCGCTAGGAGGGCATTGCAATTGTCGAGGCGGGAAATAACCATGGCCCGTACCAGAAGCTGGGTGGCGTACTGAGCTTACTCAGTACTTTCCTTTAGATGCGGTCAGACAAGACGTCATCAAACTAAATAGTCTGAAACATACTGAAATCTTTAGTCTAAAGCCACTGTGGCCCAGATAAGTGTCAGATAATGGTTCAATAGATAGATGAACATAGTGCTAGACAGTGGAGAGGATTATGCTGCAGTGGTGGTTTGAGATGTGTCTTTATTTCTGCTGTAAAAAACAACCATTGGAATACATTGTAGCTGACATGAATTTGAGGTGACCACAGTCACTATTACAATCAACAGGAAAACATTTTACTGCCACATTTCAAGTCTATGGGCCATGTTTGAGTCTCAAAAGATCTAAAAGGTAAAAAAAAAGTATCACTTGCTGTGTAATGAGTATTAAAAAAGCCTCACAGTTGTTATTTCCCAAAATGAATCAACAACATATTGAACGGCACCAAGACCAGACAAGAGCTGAAGTACTTTTGTTTCTGCTACTTTCTTTGTTTCTTTCCATTTAAAAACAGATGAGTCCCTGTCAGAGAGATAAAGACAGGGACTCACAGGGAAAGAGATTTTTTTCAGGAAAAAAAAGGTGAGTGTTGCTGTATTGGAGGCTGTCCAGTGAGCTAACAAAGAGTTTCCTGTTTGGATTTGTTTCTCAAGGGCAAAGCATCCAGCGCCGGCCAGCGGGCAGCCTGCTCTGTGGTGTTTGTGCCGAAGATTTCATTTGGGAGCTAACACCATTTTGCGGCTGTCGTTCTCTGCACACCGCCACCACAGAGAGACAGGGAGGAGGGGAAAAAAAACATAAAATGGAAAAGTTAAAAGGAAATGAATAACACCCTGAGGCACTCCCCACACAACTGGCTTCTGATTTCTATTTGTTTCTCAGTCTGAGCCTCCACTGGGCCGCCTGGCACATTGACCGACAACCAACATTAAAAACAAATGAAAGGAAGCATCATGACATCCCTTTCTTTCATCCAGGTTTGTGTATGTGACTGACT